CATTGTTCAACTTTGTCTTCATTATTTTTATCTTGAGAGACTCAACTTCATGGTGTTGCTTGCTTGCTTTTTACAATTTTTGAAAAGACGGTTTTACTGGGCATACATTAGTAATGGCTGTACTTCACTTGCAGGCCAGGCTCTTTCACCTGCTAAAAGTGTCTATTTCAGGGGATGCCTAGAATTTCGTCTGTTTATGGGAACATAATCTAAAATTTTTGGGTCAAAATGTATACAATCAAGCTCTGATGATCCTTTAATCTGTCATAGGATGCCATGTGATAATCTTGTGAAATAGAAGCATCATTCAAATTGAATGTTTGTACCAGTCAGTTGAATGGCTTGTGTGTTTGTTATTCAACACTCTGTTATTACTCATAATCCTTGGCTAATTACTAAAAGGGTATAGTGCTTTGTTAAGTGTTGCTTTTAAATGTAAAAAGATTAAAAATACACTTTTATTTTGATCTATCATTTGTTTCATTTCAGGTTATTAGGGTAATATAATTTGAAATTACCCAAACATATCCTCTTTCCTCATCAGGACATGGATGGTACTTTGATGGAACAACAAATGGATCTGTGAATTTTAAATTTTGTCAATAGAATACTGCTGAAGTATTCTATTGCAATAAGGCCCACTTCTCTCTTTCAGCTCATGGTTTTCTTGTCTTCACTGTATTCTAAGCACTAAAGGAAGCACTTAGATACATGCAATGGCAAAGTTGTAAGAGTTAATCCTGTACTTGATTTGTTTACCTACAACATAAAATGTGACATGTAACAATGTTTTCTGAAACATTTTTGGCCTTTAATTCATTAGCTGCTACCATTCAATTTTTGAAATAACAACCACACTCAATGGCTTTACTGTTGGTAGGAACCTGAGTAACCTAAGTGAGAGGTAAAGGCCCAATAAACAAAATGCTGGTAGATCAGAAATCATAGGATTGGAAAAAGATTCAGTAAAGAGACTTGTAGTGTTGGTCTGTAAACCCATTGCTCCCTTTAAAAAAAGAGTCAAAAGGCAATTAGTTGTTTGTACTCATGGCCTATCATGTTTCCATGCATCAGTGAGGAGTCCTTAGGTAATGAATGCCCTCCCTCAGTCTTGGAATATCACCCTACCCATTCTAAAAACAGTCAGTGATATCTTTGCTCCTTGGTTCATAACACGGCCACTTAAAGTAGTTGAAGTTTATGGGCCCACTATACCAAGAGGAGCGAGTTAATTTGATTGTAATGAAGTACTCTCAATTTAGTCTCCAAAAGCCTGGACAAGATTATCATGTTCAAGTAACCCAACTCCAAAAGCCTGGACAAGATTATCATGTTCAAGTAACCCAACTCCAAAAGCCTGGACAAGATTATCATGTTCAAGTAACCCAACTCCTGAATGCTTAGCCACACTTGACAAATTAGGAACACACCCAGCTGACCCTGAGGAACTTCTCTTTGGAATGTTCCAAGACAATAGGGATATTCATGGTTCTCTGCCTCTGTTGTGTCTGAGGCCTGCCGAGAGAAGTGCTATTTCTCTTTTGTCCCCAACAGAAGGACTCAGCTTCCTTGATGAATTGCTTGACTACTCCATCTTCCATCATCAGCCTGGCTAAATTCTTTCTGAGTGCTAAGAAAACGTATCATTACTCCTTTCTCTGGATAAAGTGCTTCCTCTTCACTGGACCTCAGTGTGGGGTGGGGTGGGAAGGAAGTGTGATTAAGTCTTGCTTGGGTTTTATTCACACCATATGTGTCTATGCCTCTGTTTCATGTCCCACACAATCAGAAGAAAATTTATCAGCCTCTCATTCCACCACTGTACCCAGAGATTTTAGTCAGATTAATATACTCATTATTGACCGGAATTCCTAAAGGAACGACATGCAGAAACTTTCAATCCTCCCAGTCAGTGAATTATTACATGCTTTAAAGAAATGAATATTCCTTGAACGTGTCCTAGTATTGAGGCATTAGACAAGTCTATTTGAAATGATGACATGACCCAATAACTTTTCAAATTTTTATTTTCAGAGGCTGAACAGCGGTTCATTGCAGAATTTGTGATGCAACAATTAGTCTCAAAGATTATTTCAATATTTTTAAAAGAGAGATCATGGATTAAATGCAAATTGATTTAAATAGGCACATTTCTCTAAAAGAATTTAAGAGTACTTAAAAGATCCCATTGAAGGCATGTGGCATTATTCCTAGCTCTATGGGTACTGTCTCAATTAAATGAGCCTTGGCAAGAAAATATTCAGTGATTAATTTATCTAGCAACTGGTAGCAGTGAAGCTATTAAAATTTATGCATTTTAATGGTGTGCGCGCATTTGTGATTTCTGCTTTGCTTATTTTACTATCTTAATGATTATCTTTTCTGAAGACCCTCCTGAGGATTTTAGCTTACTTCAGCAGACCTAATCACTGAGAGCTTTCTTATTAGCCCTTTGCATGAATCATTTTCCAGTTTTCAATAATTCTACTACCACCTTTTATTCTGGACAAGGCCTTGGTGAGAACATTAAAGTACACTAGAAGAAAACAGTATACTGTCCCAGTGTGACTCACACCCTGCTAGAACTTCCTTGCCTCAAGTCACACAAAAAGAGAAACTGACTTGTCAGGAGTCCCCATCCACACTTCTGTGATGGACTGGGGCTTCCAGGTGCTGCTGCTACAAGGTAAGGTGTACATATAATTTCTTCTATTATCAGACAGTGACTGTGAACTTTCATTGTCCCTTCACTTTCTTGCTTCAGCTGGCAAAGTGTGTAAAAATTCTAGATGAATTTACATTGGAATCAGAAATTCAGTACTTGCAAACTATTTTAAATAGTTTCAGTCCTTTCTAATTGAGCACCCAATATTTCAACTCCCCTTCTTACTATGTGCCCAGCTTACTTTCTTTGTGAACACCTTACACTCTTTATAGCTCAGTTGCACATCTGTCATTTCTCTTGCTTGCTTACTTTGGGACATCTCTAGAGATTCATTTCACTACTGTCTTCGATTACTAGAGTAACAACCACAGCACACAATGGGAGTTGATTTTCTAAAATAGTTTACCATCTTACTGTCTTAAAAATATGATTTTTAGATAAAGCTTATTTTTGAACCTTAAGTTTGAGTAAATATTATGAAGAAAAAAATTAACTCTTAAAAGACTTGATTCTACATGCTACTTAAATGAGAAAATTTTCTGAAATTCAAATATAGCAAGCTCCATTTGCTCAATGATGAGGTACTTGCACAAAGTTCCCCATGGCCTTTTGGTGTACAAATTTATAATAATGAAGACTACTTCTAAGGAAATAATTTGACATAAAAGTTTGTCTTCTCTTTAAACTACTGTATTAAACAAGTCATTCGAGCTGTAAATACTCAAGGATAAGCCAGTTTTAGGATCACATTATTGTGTCACAGTAATAGAAATGTGAATCACATTCATTATTTCATTCATGAATTCAGGTTCTCCTAAATTCTCAATAGTAAGCTACTGTACTCTTGATATAAGTTGTCAGGAAAATCCAGATCATCATTCCTGGCACCAAGGTGCCAAGACCTTCATGTGATATATGAAATCACACACAGTCAGCTGCTTTTCTATTTTGGTTAACCAGGTAGTTGAAAATTATTATCCCACTAGCATTGCCTTCAAGTTTTAGAAGCAGAACTAGAGGAATTACATTGAGGTATACTTTATGGTAGTTCTGTTGCTTCTCTACTGCTCCAGAACTAACCATGGCATTGAGGATGGAAATGCAGAAATCATGCTTTTCGCTAGGTAGAAGTTACCATAGGTGACCAAACACCTCCTATCTCTGGCGTCTAAGATAACACATTAGGGTGATGGGCTACATTTTCCACGACTTTAAATTTGTAGATTTCCGTATTTGATGAAAATCTATTTCTCAAAAGCTTTTCATTTTTTGAAAATCTGTAACTTGAGTCCTATGAACTGTAACATGGGCTTTTCACTTCTAGATTAATTTCTGATTTTATAGAAATAAAACCATGGAAAAACGAGTATCAGCAGCCAGTTTTTTGTTGTTGCATTTTGTTGTTTTTCTTTACGAAGAGGAGGGAAGTTTGTAACTAGTATAATATAGGATGGGAAAAAAGAGTTCACGCTGTTAAGCAGGTAAGAATTTTGATGAGTCAACCAATATGTCCTGGGGTCTATTTTGACGCCTACTTTAAAGTACTTTTAAAGTCCTAACCCTACAGTACATGTATAGGAATTCAGTCCTGTATTCAGGCTTGTAAGTGTATTATTTGGTGGTTTATAAAAACAGCTATTGCACATCTGTGGGAGTTCTGAGGAAAATCAAGCATCTGAGGCTTTCTTTATTTCTTCCTATCAGGAGAAAACCAGCTTAACATGGGGTGAAAAGAATACAACTGGTCTCTAGCTGTGGCTTAATGTCATGGAGCAATGAGGAAATGGGTGACCTGTCCCCCCACCTTCATCACTTCAGTTTTTTCCAAGCAGGTAGGTTGTTTAACCTCAGCCTGGTTTATATCGTAGTGCTCATTATTTTGATTTCATAATCTAACCTTTGGTTTGTTATATGATTTTACAAATTTGCAGGTGTTTGTTGCTAATTTTATTTTTTACTAAACAATCTCATTCTTTGGAAAGTTGCTTGGAATCTAATTCACTGCAGGTTTTTTCCCCTCCATGTTATAAAATCTGGATATAGACACTTTTCAAACTATCCCGCATAATGTTTGAATTGAATTCACAGTAACAAAAGTTACAAAGTTTGTGCAAAAGACATTGTACACCACTGGAGTACATAGAGCTTGCTATAGTTAATTTTATATATAAAGCTGCATTTCTCATTAAAACTATTCTGTGCTACATTAAAAGTTAAGTATCTGACTTAATTTCCCCCTAGCAATAAAACTGAATGCTCATTTAATCTCAGAAATTTTAAGATGCAAATTGCATATTATGATGTTTGTAAATGTTGTAGTAAATCGCTGAAACCTTTAAACACCATAATTGTTTTGGAGCTCTTCAAGTTTTCCGAGGGTCATAAAGTAAACCCGGCTGTGGCGATTACGCAGGGTAGAGGTAAAGAACAGCTTTAAAAAGAGAGAAAGAGACACTGTTTAGTACACTGAAACCTGATATTTGCTAGAAACAAATATAATTTTAATTTGTATCAGTAAATTCAAGTGCTAAGCTATACTGTTATTCAAAACAGGATTTCCTCAAAGAATAAGAATTTAAATTGGCGTGAACTCTCTCTATAAAAAAAATAATGTTTCTCCATATTTATAATTGGTGAAATAAAATGAGGTTTTTCTAGATAGCATGCATCAGCTCAAGTTCCTGATCACAACCTACTTTCACTCAAGCTACCTTTCCTTTTTCTTTGAATATAAGGAAACCAACTATTTAGATGCTGTTCACTAAGTGTTACTAGTGTTTAAGTGGACATGGAACTTTTCTACTTGGTACATTTCCTATCTCACTGAAAATGACTGACATGAGTAGACTGATACTATGAGTTAAACTCATCGACTGAGAGAGGAACATAACATGTAACTATGATAAATAGCAAAAAGAAAGTTAGATGAGAACATGAAAATAAACAGCTGAGTGCTCACCCTTGTTAGGATTAAAGCTTTCAACATCCACAGTGGTTATATTAGGAGAGCCAGTAACAATGATGGCGATGTTAATGCTTGCTCTCCTTGACTTAAATATTTCACGTGCCAGACAATCTGTGAGATATCTACTATCTATACATTACCACTAATTTTCACAACTGTATACAAAACAGGTGTTAAGCTCCCATTTTGGAGATAAACAAAATAAGGCTCAGAAAGATTAATTGCAGTTAGATGGCAGAGCTAGTCATGGGCCCTTGTCCAGGTGAGCTCAAACTCTCTTCTTGCCATTCTATTTCCTATTACTGCAAATCGTGCCTTTCTTTGGTCATACTGCCTTACTCTGGTTAGTTGATATCAACTCAAATCCTCTGCAATCTCTTCTAAATATCAATGCTTCCTAGTTCTAAAAGGATTATTTCATCACACTATTAGTTCTCATAAGATGTGGGGACTATAATGACTTTATGTGATTTTTTCCATCTCAACTATCTGCATTGACTGTTAAAATGGATCATTATACAAATAATAGATTCCTTATTTTCTGTAAAGTGGACATAATAGTGACTTATGAAGTTTAGACACAAGAGTTTTTAAAGTAGTTAGTAAAAATTCTACTACATAATTAGATATTTAGAAGGTATAAATACTTTTTCCTCCTTCTGTTACTGGATTATGTTGAAAACTATAAAAGTCAGCTTTTTTTTCAAGGGTTGCATTTCAAATCTATTAATATGAACAGGAACATGAACATAATTTTTCTGCAAAGACAATAATGGATTTTGTACCAAACAAAATAGTGGCTAGGCTTTGTTAGGACATAATTAGGATTTTCACTTTTTTTGAGGATGGCTTCTATTTGAAATCAAATTTAATCATTTTCCAAATCAATGTTTCTACTGAAAAAATGTAAAATCATTTGTACCAACAGTACGCCAATTTGAGAAATAAAGTCTCAAAATATTTATGGCCAGAGGGAAAAGAACAAAATTTTCAAAGTTAATCTTCATTGTTTGCTTTATTTTTGTGCTGGGAATGCAAGCTATACCTTATCACCTCGGGTACACAGAAATCTCAGCTTCTTGACTGCTCTGCGCTTCAGTTCACTTTCCAGAAGCTTTGACTGCAAAGAGCGAACTTCAATGGCCTTCTGGCCCCATCCTGTGGTTCGCTGTGTACACTCATAAGCTACAATAAAAATTTAAAAATCAGAAAGACAAAAAAATCTGTCAGTAATGAACAATGATAACCACAGTCAACATTAGGTGATTAAGAGGCTCATTATTACAGTTCAGGTGACACATCCTTTTTCTCTTCCTTCTACAGTCAGCCATTTTGCTGTCATGCTGTTCAGCGGTGGCATTCAAACCAGCTATCTATTATCATCATGTGACCAATGCTGAGTTATGACATCTCAATTAATTGCTGCACCCATATTCTACAAACACAGAAGCTAAGGGTTAATTCTAGCCTGTTTCTAGAGAGGCAAATCTACCTTCGGTCTTTTTTATAATTGATAGGAGGTACAGCATTCCATAGGTTTTTCATTTGTGCTAAATGACATAACAGAAACCTAACTCTTTAAAATTAAAACTTAAAAGATGACTTGCTCAAATAATGACTATAGCAATCCTACTGCAATTCAATGTGTTACAATGTTATTTAGAGATCTAAAACTAATTTGATACTGTTAAGGCTCTCTTGCTCAGGAAATTTTTATTAAGATTTTAAATTTGGATTCTGTTTTATATTACTTCGTGGCAATAAAGATTATGACAATTGCCTTAAAGCATAAACTCTAATTATATGAACAGTCAAACAGTGAGCTGACGCAGAAAGGTATTTTTTTGGCACAGGGAGCTGTATTATTAATTGTTTAACTTTCAAGTTTATAGTCTATGTATTTTATGGGGAAGCAAATTTCTATAAATAAAACAATCTTAACACCTAAATCAATATCAAGATTTTGAGTGAAACTATAAAAAGACTAGAAAACAGCAAAACAAGGCATCTTTATTTGTGTATTAATATGACTAAAATCAGAACTTGATTCAATTTTTCCCCATGTTATTTTATTATAACGGCAATAAACTCTGCATTGATAAAATAGAATTTAAAATTTTTCTCTATTTTTGTTAACCATTCTAGGATGACTTAGTTTACACCAAAATTTATCTTACATAGTATATATATATATATGAATGCATGTGTGTGTCTATATGTAACAGGCACAAAGGATTAATGAAGGAATAATTAAACTTATACAAGTGATCTTTCATAGGTGTAGTGTGAGTCATTTTTAATTTCTCAACTTAAACTTCCCAAACATTACATTAAAAATAAAAATACTTATGTGTATGAACTTGGTATCAAAATTGTAATGAAAATGCTATTATATTTTACTCAAATGGCTCTCCCGGTAGAAAACTTTATAGGTCCAATTAAAATCACTCTAGATTTGAGGGAAGTAAGGGGAATCTGTGGCCTGAACGATGGAAACAATAGATCTAGTTTGTCTGGGTTTAAATTTTTTCACCTATGTGAGTAGCGTTTATTGTTTTTGTTTTTGTTTTTCACAAACAAACACACAGGGAAAAAAATTTCCAAACTTCATGCACAAGTTATTTTCTGAGTCCAAGTATATAGTTCATATGGCATCACAGAATTTTTACTTTAATTCTGAAACACATTAATCTGCCACTTAACCTAACTACTAAATTGGCTTACAAAAATCTAATGATTTTGACTGGGAATATTTAGCAATACCTGCTCTGATTGTTATGGCTCTCTATATGTGTTTGAAAACCAGATCAGTGATCTTATTATTGAACATATTTATTATATCTCAAGAAAATATAGTATTAATATTGGAGAAATATAAATCTTGGCTAATTTTAAAAAACAAAGCAGTTTTCAGAAAAGAGTAACTAATTTTCCTAATACCAGTGTTACACTGTAGTGTTTAGAATACTTTCAAAGTATCCTTAACATAAAACAAAATATCACCTTCTTATGATGATATAAACCACTTTACATAGAGATATCTTTCAAATTCTAGTAAATTGAAATAGCTTATTGTTTTAAGTCACAATTTCTTGTGCCTAAGGACAAAATCTACACCAAATATTTTTTTCTAAAAAAGGTCCCTTTGTTTGCTTACGGTCATCTAATGGTATAAATATAGGGGTTGGTTCAGCTCTCTGTCTAAATTTTTTTATTGCCATTTCAGATGAACATATTGATCACACAAGTACTGCTATAACAGTCAGAATAGGACTCACTATTTTCAGCTGCTTTCATCCCATATCTGTCAATTATATTGTAAGCATTTAGCTTTTGTCTCTTAAAATGGGTTTAAACCCTCTGACTTACCTGTTTGAAAAAATTTGATGTTTTCAGGACAATCCTTAATACTATGTATGCAGAAAGAATACATTCTGCAGAGGCAATGAACACTGCCATCATCCCGTAATGAAAAATGTCCATTAAAAAGCAGTTACTTCAAACTTGTCCTTAAAGCCACATGAGGATCAATTTATCCATTTTATGGGGATTTCAGAAGCTACTAATTTCTCTATTAACAAACTACACTTTTTTTTTTTCTCTGTCTCCGTCTCTTCCCCTTCCTTTCCCCACCCTTCTCACTCCCTTCCCTTTCTCCTCCTTTGTTTCATTGAACTTCTCTTCCTTTCAGGAATATTTATCTTCTATCAACTCATTTTTCTCTCTCTACTAATTTTTATTGCTCATTTGCACTCTGTTCTCTATCTAGAATTACCATGTAGTCACCAAGCTCACAGATACACACAACAGCCTCAAGTTATTCAGATTTCCCAGATCAGTATTCTTGCATTTCTTTATGATGCCATTTGAGTTGTACTTAATAGACATTCCAGTCAGTCTTATCTATGTCTTTTGCAAATGAAGGATGATGAAATCTTAGAACTAATATGTCAGATACTCAGCTTGCCTTTGATTCTTTTACAGGAACATTAGTCATGAAGTAGAACACTATTAACTGCACAAAACAGAAACACTTTGCTGTTTTATAACTATTTGGCAGCCCCCCTAATACAAAGGTAAACCCCAGAAATCAATGTGATGGAATGAAGAATTTTCAACATTTCTGTAAAATCTGCAAGGCAAAGGGAGTTAAAACGAAACATACAGATTATTGTGAAATGAATTCCTTGCCTGTTTTAACTGTATAATTACTGAAAATGAACAACTAAGAGAGTTAAAATCAGTCTTTTTGCAGTAGTTTTGTGAATTATTTAAGCAGAGGACAAACACACACACTCCTTTCTGCAGGAAGAAGTAGACAGGATCTCAAATTAACCCAATACATTTTCAGAAAGTGAAATATTAAAAAAAATAGAAGCTTGTCTAGGATCATCTAAGAAAAGGAAAATTTTATACATACCCACTGAAGATGGTATGTCTTTCCACACTTCGAGAATCTTCTTGAAGAGTTGTTCATTTGCTTCCATAGAAAGGGCTTCAGCATTGAAGGTGAGCATCATGCCAATTCCCAAGGAATCAGGTAAAATGATGATATTCTGTGGTATAATGATTTCCAGGGGCTGGAATTATGTTTCATCAAGATTTTTGTGCCCAACATTTTACCACTACTACTTTAAGTGAAGTAGATTGGCTGATCAATAAAGACCAAAAAGGGGTTCAAAGTGCAGGAAGGAAAAGAAACTTGTAATTTATATTAAATAGTATGCTGTCCAACACTTGAAAAGATCTTTCCCTATGTCATAAAGTCATCACTGTGTAATATTTCCCTTTATGTTATGGAGAAAGCCTTGTTTGAAAGAAAATAGAGATATATTTCCAACATTGAGAAACTCATTGAAATTTCACCAAGTATTATGCTTAGTGCCATAAAAAAATATAACTTGCTAGAGTTGGATTTCAGATTCACTTCAGCAAATACTTTGGAAAGGAGGGTGTGAACCAAGAAACAAATACACAATTGTTGGTAACCAGCCAATTCATTCCTATGCAGAATAGAAAATTAACTTAAAAATAGCTTGAATTTCAAATGTTTACAAAGGCTGGCTTTGTGATATTCTCTGATGCCTGAAATATAACAGTCATCTGTCATCCTCTCTTCACAAGAAATGAGGGATTTCTTATCCAATTTATGTAACCTTAATATAGACAAATTCAGAGACATATTAGATGGCATAATATGATTCACTGAGATGTATCTCAGAATATCTAAGTTTGATGATGCATAAAACAACGTGACAAAAACTAGCTTGAACTGCATTATCACACTAACATTATTTCCCAGAGCAATAAACAATTATATTCCTCTACTATCTCTCACATTAGTAAGTTACAGAAATAAGGTCAGAAACTATACTTGCCAAACCCAGCGGACTCAGGCCAAGTGCATGAGGCCATGTCTCAGCAACAACAATCCTTAAAACTAAAATGGGAATCCAGAGGCGAAAAGCAATTTTAATGCGTTCCCTGGGCACTCGCATGAGCAATTAAATCAGAAAAGAGATGAAGGAAAAGAGAAAAAGAGATTGCAGGATAGAAGGCCGTCTCAATAAAATCTGTGTAGAATAAACCCGGACTGCTGTAAATCCAAAAAGCCTGAGTGGGAGTCCTCTTCCTTCTCTCTTGGTTCCCGAAGTAACCAGATATTCTTTACTATACAGGGCTGCCTTGTACCATCGCGGCTTTTGTAATGCAGCGCTCTTCAAAAAAATATTATTTTTAGCATTCTGCTTCAGAAGACACTTTCCCCTCCCTTCTATTGGAACTCTTCCTCTGTTAATGGGTCAAGATACTAGGACATTTAGCAAAAAATACTATTTTTGAATATATATAAAGTATCCTAATTAGGTCAGGATATGATTTCCCCCCTAAAAAATCATCTTCTCTCATATGTGCTTCTTCAATAATTAACTGATTGCTTCAAAAAGAAATAATTATCCTTGGTTGGCAGTCAAATGGAACATACAGTCCAATCTTCTTAAATGACTTTTCAAATATGTACAAACTTGGACCAATGTTCAATATTGTAATAGCTTCAAAATATGGACTGACATGACATAAAAATAAGATGGAGGAAGTTATGGAAGATACTTCAGTGGAAGAGTATTATAAAATTTATATACAAATTAGCCTGAGCTCATATACATCTAAGTGGTTTGATTGGGCTTGGCTTAGTAATTACTATACTACCAAGAGGGTGACTGCTACATAATCACAGGTGATAGTTATGTGATCAGATAATTAGATCATTAGCATGACCAAAATGATTTTGAAAGTATCCATCAGTGATATAACAATTATATGAAAATTTTCAGTGTGCAAATATTTCCACAGTGATTTAAAAATACAACAGTATTTCTCTCTAGACTTTTGTATAATGCTAGACTGCTAAAATTTTAATTGTTGGTAACTGAGGAATTAAAAAAGATGAAGCAGAAAAAAGTTATTTCAGCTCTTCCTCTTAAATACAGTGTTCAACCCTAAAGATATTACTAAAAACTTTTAGAAACAATACATAAAGTAAAGTGGCAGGTTACAAAATCTGTTTCATTCTTATATGCAAACTACAAGAGAAAGATATCAAGAAAACAGTCCCATTTACAGTAGTATCGAAGTAGGAATAAACTTAACAAGGAGGTGAAAGACATTCAATAAAAGCTGTAAGATGCTCGTAAAAGAAACAGAAGACACAAAGATGGAAAAAATATTCCATGCTCATAAATTGGAAGAATTAATATTGTCTAAATGTTCATCTGACCCAAGGAAATATCAAATTCCTATTAAAGTTTCAAAGGAATTCTTCAAAGAAGTAGAACAAACATTATTCACATTTATGTGAAACCACAATACACACTGAATAGTTAAGTAATCTTGACAAAAAAGAAGAGGAAATGTAGTATCATATACTCAGATTACAAACTACACTTACAAGGCCATACTAAGAAATAAAAAAAACACCAGAATGGTATTAGAATAAAAATAGATACACAGACTAATAAAATAGAATTTAAAGCCAAGAATAAGCCCATATTTATAGGGACGATCAATATTATACAACAGAGAAAGGAAAGTCTCATCAACAAATGGTGCTGGGAAAAGTGGACAGCAATACACACAGTATACAAAACCTAATTCAAAATAGAGGAAGGACTGGTATGTAAGGCCAAGAACTAAATGCACTGAAGAATACATAGGCAAAACGTTCTATGACATTGGTTTCAGGGATGTCTTTGGGAACTAAATTTCAACAGCAAGAAAAAAGTGAAAATAAATAAATGGGACTCCATAAGCTAAAAAGCTTCCATATAGTAAAAGAAACTTCCATTAAAACAAAAAGACCTATTGAATGGGAGGAAATATTTGCACATCATGCATGTGACAAGTGACAACAGCCAAGATCTACAAAGACCTCACACAACTCAATGAAAAGAGAAAAAAAATGGGCAGAAGATCTAAATAGACACTTCTCTAAAAAAGATATACAGATGGTCAGGCCCTCCCTGGTGGCGCAGCGGGTTAAACCACAGCATTAAGATGCTAAAGCCACTTCCACATAAGTTCGATCCCCGCCTGCTCCGGAGGTGACCACATGGCGTGGCAGACCTCTCCTGATCCGCCCGCTGCTCCCCTCAGCAATGTACTTCGTGGATCTGCCTGTTCTGCTCCCCGCTCTGTCTCTGGTGAATCCTATCACCCTCCACGTCTCTGGCCTGTACCCCAGTTCTGTATGAATAAATAAATAAATCTTTAAAAAATAAAATAATTTTTTAAAAAAAGATATACAGATGGTCAATAGGCACAAGAAAAAATGTTTGGCATCATTTATTATTAGAAAAAAAAATACAAATCAAAACCAGAATGAGATATTGCCTCGCTCCCATGAGAATGGCCCATATTAAAAAACAAAACAAAACAGAAACAACAAATTCTGGTGAGGGTTTGGAGAAAAACAAACACTTGTACAATGTTGATGGGCATGCAGACTGGCTGAGCTCCAAAACAGTATGAGGTTTCCTCAAAATATTAAATAGGGCCCTCTCTGGTGGCGCAGCGGGTTAAAGCACTGCACTGAGAAGCTAAAGCCACTTCCGCATGAGTTTGATTCCCGCCTGCCCCGGAGGTGACCACACGGCGTGGAGACCTCTCCTGATCCGCCCGCTGCTCCCCTCAGCAATGTACTTCGTGGATCTGCCTGTTCTGCTCCCCGCTCTGTCTCTGGTGAAGCCTCTCACTGCCCCTGCACCTCTGGCCTGTACCCCAGTTCTGTATGTACAAATAAATAAATCTTTTAAAAAATATATTAAATAAATATGTATATGATCCAGTAACTCTATGCCCAAGGAATTACCTGAATACAAAGTCGCTAATGTGAAGGAATATATGCATTCTTAAGTTCACCGCATCACTATTTACGATATTCAAATTATGGAAACAACCTAAATACCTGCTGAGCGAGCAGTACATTAAGAAAATGTGGTATATATACCAGTGGAGTACTAGATAGCAATTAAAAAGATGAACTCTTGCCATTTGTGACAACGTGGATGGAATTGCAGAGGATTATGCCAAGAGAAGTAGTACAGAAGGAGAAAGATAATACCAGATGATTCACTCATCTATGGAACATAAAGAACTTAACAAGAGAACATACAAAATTAAACCAAGGCAAACCCTAGAAATATGAATGAAGAGCTGGGATACCAGAGGTGGTGCTGGAGTGGAGAGTAAAGGGAGGAGGGGCCCAATTGATTATGGTAGAGGATTATGGGTGTTTTGATGGTGGGTTTGGTGCAATAAATACATCTGTAAAGGTGTGAAACTATACCCTTAAGTCATATACACTGTTACATACCAATGGTATTTTAATTAAAAATATATATATATATATAAAACAATTATATTCCTCTACTATCTCTCACATTAGTAAGTTACAGAAATAAGGTCAGAAACTATACTTGCCAAACCCAGCGGACTCAGGCCAAGT